AATTATAGTTTTTTTTACTAGAAAAAAGAATAGTAAAATTAAAAGAAAATCTAATAGTTTACTATTATTATTATTATTATTACTATTAGAATTAACTTTAGTAATACTTTCTATAATACTTTTTATATTATTTTATAGCTTTTAGAAATTAATAAATAAAGAAGAATTCTGGTATATATAAGTTAATTAAATCTAAAAATAAAAAAGAATTTATAGAAAAAATAAAAAATAAAAGCTAGAATTAAAAAAAAGAATTATATATATATCTTTATTTATTTACTAGTTTATTAGATTTCTCCTTACTTTTAAAATCTTATACTTATACTAGTAAGTAATACTTTCTTAAACTCTTTAGGTCTTTTTAGTCTATTATTTAATTTTTTTAAATTATTATATCTTTTAAGTATTTTCTAGCTTTTTATAAATAATTTTAAAATAGAAATCTTTATATAAAGTTTTTTTCTAAGTTTTTTCTAGCTTTTTATAAATAACTTTAAAATAGAAATCTTTATATAAAGTTTTTTTCTAAGTATTTTCTAGCTTTTTATAAGTAATTTTAAAATAGATATCTTTATATAAAAATCTTATTCTAATATAAAATAAGAAAAATTGTTCAGATATTTTTAGGACCCAGATATATATTATAGCAGGAAAGATTAAAGATAATTTAAATAGAATCTAATAAGACTATAAGTTCTTGAACTCTTTTATTATTAGAACTAATATAAAATACTACTTTATTTATATTATTAATAAATTAATAATAGTAGATAAATCTACTAATATAAAAAAAAATAAGGAAATAGCTATTAAAAAACTATATTAGAAAGAATAAAAAAGACTTAATTATTTATTTTAAATCAAAAGCCATTTATTAAAAAACATTTATTAGAATTTATATAAAGAATCTAATAAAAGAAATAAAAGAAAACTTATTATTAACTTCTTTAAAAAATTAAATAGTTCTTTATTTAGCTCTTTAATTCTTTATATTATTAAATATTTACTTATAAAGAACTAGTTATAAAACTATAATTTATAATTTTATAAAACTAGATCCGGCTATATTTTAATTTATAAAACTTTAAAGGGTTCTAGATAACCTATTATTAGTATAAAAAGCTATAACCTAAATAATAGCCTAAATAATTCTCGTATTTATAGCCTATTAAGCTTATATAGTAATATAAATACTATTAGAAAAGTAATTAGATTAAATAATATAGCTTATAATAAAAAATAATATAAAAGGAAATAATTATAAGACTATTAGAATAGAAGAAGCCTAAAATAGAACAGAAATAATATCTGGTAGCTATATAGTAATAATAATTAAAGAAATAGATATAATAAATATTTTTTTTAAAAAAAAGATATAAAATAAGAATATTAAAAAAAGCTAGAAATCTAAAATATCCTAGATATAAAAAAGAAAACAGATATAGACGGAATTCTAGAGCTATAAGATTTAAGTTTATTAGTATTATTACTCTAGGCAAATAAAATAATAATGTTTATATTATATTTATTATTAATAGATTAATAAAACTTATAATATTAAATATTATTATACTAATATTTAGTTATAGAATATATATTATTAGAATAGGTTTTAAGAAATAGTAATATTATTTTAAAAAATAAGAATTTAAAAATATAAAATATTTATATAATAAATAAACTTAATAATTTTATTAGTATTATTCTTAAAAATAAAAAAAGAATTTCGAAAATAATATATTTAATAATAAATAATATCTATTTTAATATATCTAATTATTTTATAATTAGCTTATTTAATTACCTTATATTATTAGAAGTATTACTAATAAAAAATTATTTCTAAATAAAGTTCTAGATTATTAGGAACTATATAGGTATTTTTCTGGCCTATATATTACTTATATATTCTATATTTATTAGAATAACTTATTTAAAAATTCTATTTTATATAATAATAATATTATATTTATTAGTTAGCTTTTTAGACTCTTCTAATATTAGTAGCTATCCTGAGGCTATATATACCCGAACTATATATTAGAGCTAATAATAAGCTTAAATATATAATTAGATATTATTTCTATTAGTATTTCTTATATAAATATTAGCTATATTTATATTATAAAATATAAGCTTTTAATAATATTACTTTAGTATTTCTCTTAATAGAAACTCGTTAATATTTATATTAGTATATAAGTAAACTATTTATATAAAGCTATATAAGGTTATATTACTTATTTTAAACTAAATAATTATTAAGAATTATATTATAAAGCTTTATATTTATTAGATAACTCTAGTATTATATCTTGCCTAGAGGCTTTATATGTAATCTAAATAGCTTATTAGCTATTATATTAGGTCTAGATCTGTTTTTTCTAATTCTATAAATATTTTATAAGTCTATAAACCTATATATAAAGTACTAATAAAGTAATCTAGTTTTATAAATATTAGTAATTATAACTCTTAATATAGGCCAGTTTTTAAAAGTAGTTCTATATATACTAATTGAAATTAGTTATATAATCCGGTATTATAATACTAGACCTAATAGCCTTAATAAAAAGTAGTATAATTATTAATATCTAATACTTTCTTTTAATAATAGAAAGAATAAAAAGCAAATATAGAGAAACAGAATTACTTATATATTACTAGTATAGCTAGCTTTTCTAAAGCTTTTATTACCAGAATTTAATTTACTAATTCTTAATACTTTTTCCAGAAATAAAATAGTTCTTTATATATATAACTAATAAATTAGTTATTTATAAAAATGCGAAATATATTTTCATAATAAGAGAAAGTTTAGAGCCTTAATTAGTTTTAAAAAAGTAAGAGTAATAGCCTATTTAAATACGAATCTAAAAATACTATTATATAACTAAATAAGTAATTTAATTAGAAATTCCGATATATATTTAAATGATATTATATAAATAAATATTAATACAAATATATATTTCGATCTCAAATAATAATAGCTTATTATATCTATTATTTAATTAAATTTAATCCGGTCTAAATATAATATATTTTTTTTTCTTAAACTATATTTGTTATATTTATAATATAATTATCTCGGAATCCAGAAGTTGTAATATTATATATAAGCTCTTTTTATAAATAATAAAATATATTAATAAATAAGGCTCTAATTTTTTAAACTAGAGCAAAATAATAAAATATAGAAAGACTAATTAGGTTATTAGTAAATCTTATTAACGGAAATATATATATAAATATTACTATTTATAACTTATAACCCGTCTATTATTTAGCTTATTCTATAATATTATAAATAGTTACTTATTTGCCGCTTATTTATTTATTATAATTATATAGTAAATAAGACTAAGCTTCTTATATATATAAATAACTCTAGTAATTAAAGCTATATAGCTATAATTTTCAAGATTTTCAAGTATTTCCTTATTTATATTTCTTAAATAATATAGGATTATAATTTATATATAAAGAAAAAGTATATTTATTATTTAAATATATATTTAAATATTCTATTCTTATAATTACTATTAGACTATATATGAATTAATTAAGATTTCATATAAATCTTTTAATCTATTTATAATTTCTTCTTAATTAATATTTGTACGAGCCTATTTAGTAATAGCTTTATAATATAGTAATAGATTTATTAAAAGTTATAATATTATTTTAATAAAATCTACTAAATTATTTAATAGGAATTAAGTTTAGGATATAATTTACTATTATAACATACTTTTTAGTAATATAAGTACTAAATTATTCCAGTAATATTACTCTTATATAATTTTATTAATTAATTACTAAAAAGAAAGTAATTAGCCGGTTTCTTAGTTATTTTAATAGTTTAATTTTCTTATTTCTAATCTCGGGAATATTAAGGAAGTTATTAGACCCTATTAATAATATTATCCTAGAAGGGCTTATAGCCTATAATTACCTAACTATAGTAATTTGTAATAAATACTTAATTTTATATTATATTATCCGGCCTAATTTTAATACGATTTCACGCGGTAGTATAGGCTCTCACTTCATTAATTAGATAAGCAAGCAGCCTTACTATTATTGCATTATCCAAGCCGAAAGTCACGTATGGATACTATAACCTCTAATTAGGAATTCTGCCTTGGGGAGGAGGGGAGGGGGGGTGTGCGGGGCGCCAGTGCGAAAATCAGAAAATCAGAAAATCACTTTTGGCTTCTCGGATTTGTCCGCTAGCTAGCTGTGGGCCTCAGTAGTATGTCCGCTACCGATATGAAGGTTGGAACTACAGATCGCTGATTTGTGCGACTCGTAGGCTGAACGATTTAGCATGATTCAGGATTACCGATGTAAGTACTGATCTGAACACCATATTAACTAGAGTGTACCTTGAACAGCGTCCGAGATCGCTATTCACGTCTCTAAGAAACTCCACCCTATTAATTCAATACATACGAAACCTTCTCGGAATTTTCGAAATTATAAAACACGTATAGTTCTGTTCAGAAATTTGGTTTGTTACATAGTGATTACGCACGCTGTATTGACCAGACTATCTACAGGAGTGCCATAACAGATAGCAGTATCCACAAGACTAAGTGGAGGCTCAAGTTGAGCTCGCAGAAGCGATGAGAAAATAAAGACTTTTAATTACAGGACATAATCAAATTGATTTAACATACAACAGTCTATGGCACATGGCAGGAGATGAAGTACACGATGTTGGATTGTCAGTACGTTGGTATACTAAACCAGACGATAAAAAGGATGTTTGATACCGCAAAGCTTGAGAAAAAGATAAACGAGAAAATAAAAGAGAGAGATTAAGAAAGGTGGCAACGGTTAATAAAAGCATACACCGAGAGACTCAATTCAACTCCCCGTTAGACACACGAAAGCGGGGTGCCGAGCTGCTGTGGCAACAAGGAAACCTATTCCAAATTTCCAATTCCCGGGACGGCAAACTAAGATGCAACTTAAAGAACACAAAAAGTAAGCCGCCTCCAAGCCTCAACACCACCAGATCTATCTCCTACTTATCAGGATGCATCTTCCCCCCCTTATGCACTATCTTCGGCACCTGATACCCAGCCTGCGTAAGAGTGCTCGTCATCTGACTGATATGGTGGTCCATTTTGTTGTTCGCCCTCTCAATATCATTGTTGCTCATGTTCTTCCGCAGTGGCGAATTGACATTAGGTAACGCCTTGTTCCCCTTGATATTATAATATAGAACATAGTTCTTGAGCTGGTGTACCCTTCGTTTCTTCGTCTCCCACTCCTTGCGCACCTTCTCGTAGTCGTTATTCCCGCTTCTGTCATCCGAATTCGAGTTATTCTCATCTTGTGTGTATTTTGTACTGCCGTCCGTGTTGTGGTCGTTCTTTTTGTTGGGGTCAAGGACTTTGAAATAGATCTGATGTCCAATGCCCGGCACAAACCACGTCGTCGACTGGATTACATCCGGATGCGGCCACATGCCTTCCGTGATCTCCCTCGCCGCCTTCTCCTTCTCGCTCTCGCCTCTATTCAGCGCATCTCTGAAATACCGATCTTTGCTCGTGAGCGGCATGATTGTTGGCACCGGGGCGGTAATTGTCTTCAACTCCCCCGTTTTCTCGTCTTTGATCTGAACGTTCTTTTGATCCAGATGGAGATGCCAATGTGAGAGCACAAGGCGGGCATAACTGGTCGCGGCAACGAGCTCGTACCATCGTGCGTTGTAGTCTGGATCGTGGATGTGACCTTCAAGGAGCGGTGTTCCGTATGCGGTACCCGGAAGCTTAAGCTCTATCATGCAGGTAAGCAACTGATTGATCCTCACTTCGAGTATTCTCAACTCCGAATTCATGAGGTTCAACGCCAGGTTATCAGGGGAAGACCATGGCTTGCTTTGCTGTTCGAAGTGCGTTATCCACTGTGGCGGTACATGTCCGTTGGCCACGATGCTGTTGGTGAGGGCCTGAATTGCTTCCTGCATAGCAGTGTAGATTCCGAATTTCTTCTGCATTCGAGGGTCAGGGGCTTGCTCTGTAGGCGAGGCAACGACGGGGCGTATATCGTCCAGGATACCGACAAGCACGTCTTTGAAGACTCGGTCGGATCGGCGCAGCATCTCTCGGACGACAGGATCGTAAACAATCTCCTCGCCACTGGGAAGAAGTTCTTTGGGACTCAAGTTTCTGATTCTGATAGCAAGTTGCAGAGCGCGGTTGTAGAGACGTTGAACCTCGTTGACAGTAAGCTTCTGAGTAAGATATTCAGAGCTAGTGGCCATCAAGTTTGTGATCTTATTCGCCTCCAAAAGATGCTGCGACGTGGGCACGAAGCCGGATCTGCTCGTCTGGTCGTTGCGAGGAACTTCAGGTGCCCAAACAGGTAGCGCTTCGTTCGAATTAACAAGCGTATCAGTGAGGTCAACAATCACCTGGCATAGCCGCTCATAGATAGGGAACATCCGATACGCGTTGTCCTCATATGTGGTGTTCATATCGATCGACCAGTCTTTTGGCTTCGTCGTGTCCCAGCCGTTCCGAATAGCAATCACGTTGCCGCCCAGTCTGTCGACCTCACGCTCTAGTCTGTTCTTCAACGCTCTAGTCCTCTGAAGTTCCTCTTCGAGTTGCTTGATGGTGAAATCAACTGTATTCGTTGCTCCCAGCCCTTTCACACCCAATGCCTTCAATCTCGCAACTTCGATCGTGACAGCACGCAGGTAAGCCATGAGATCCATATGCCACGCATCCTCCTTCGGCATGCCAAACTTAATCGCCGCATCCACAACCATCTTATCATTATAAGCGTGCGAATCGAGAAGTTGCCTGCACTTGTATTCCAGCGCAGAGATCTTCAACTGGCATCCTGCCTCATCTTGGCATTTCTCAGAATGGATTTCTCTCTCTGCAGCAAGTGCTTGTCGAGTCTGCATCCCAGCTTCGATGAGAGCCTGGTTGTCCCGTTGAAGCATCCTGATCTTGGCTTTCAAGTCGTCGACCTCCGTTACCGCAACGAGCATGTTCTCCCCGGCCCCGCGTGCATAATCAATTTGTTCTTTCCACTTGACGATTTCAGTGTTGTATTTCGAACGCAGGTTGTTTTTCTCCAGTATCCAGTTGTCTTTTTCCTGTTCCAAGTCTGCAACCCTGCGTTGTGCGCGATCAAACTCAGAGTGGATACGATCGTTGGGAGGGGTTGCGACGAATGTGCTCACTGTCGGGGTACGATTGTAAGCACCGTCACGCTCCCTGGTGCTGCGTCTCAACTGGGTTTCGAGGGAATCGACATTGATCCGGAGTTGATCGATTTCCACGCTCTGTCGAGTCTCTGCTGCAGCCCATGCATTGAAGCACGTACACGGATCCACATGAAGGCATTGATTCCTGTCAGTGAGACCCCCGTCAGTCGGATCTGTCAAGTCATTTTGTAAAGGGTCCTCGGGGGGTGCGAAGTCGTTGTCGACAATGTTTATTCTTGTCAACTGCCAGGCTCGAAAAAGCAACACTGATCCACAAAGAAGAGCCAAAGCCCAATTTGTACACAACCATATTATTGATATGGAGATGAGGCCGAAAACCCAGATGTGGTTTCCCCAGATGTATACCAGGCGCTCCAGCAGGTAGGCAACGAAACGGATGAACTATTGCCGTCAGCTTGAGACGATCAGTTGGCGATACATGGCCTGGTACTTACTTTGTTCAAGATTGGACGAAACATACAGTAGAAGAATGATCCTACGACAGCAATTCTCTAATACAAGTCAGATTATCTCTCTCAGCGGCCAAAGACATCGAAGAACAACTGACCACCCAACTCGAAAAAGCATAAGGATTAAACAACCACGCCAAAACCCCGCTCGGGGTCGGCATCAACTTCCCTTGCCTTTCCCACCCATCCTCATTCCCCGTACACCGCATATATCTCCAATACTCGCTCATCTTCAGATCCCTCCACGGATACACCTCCTTCTTAATCCTCATGCACGGCTCTGTCAAAACATCGTGGCCGAGTGACGCCTTGCCGTACTCAAGAAAATAGTAGATGAGACCCCAAGCGAATTTCCACGAATATTGAAGAAGAATGATGGAGCTGCACATGAGGAGGAGCGCTTGGATCAGTTTTAGGGTGGGGGGTTGTTCCCTCCAGCGGGTGTATTTGGAGTCGAACCAAGCGCGGCCGAAGCGTGCCAGTGGAGGACTTGGAGTAAGGGGGCGGATGACGTTCATTGTGTGAGAGTGAGTCGAGGCCCGATTACCTTCTGAAAAAGTTCACCAGCAGTAGAAGCAGTGCTTGTTGGAAAGAGAGTAGATTTGGAGATAGAAGCACTTGCCTTTAGTTCTATTCTCGATTAAAATGGGTTGTGAACTAAGATGCAATCGAAGTGGTTTGTGAGCAGATCAATCGGGGCGAGGAAAGAGAAGCGTAGAATGTGAGTCCAATTCGGGCGAAGACAGAGGGCATGGTCGTGAATCTGAGAATAAAGAGCTGTTCCCGACGAGTATGCAAACCGACGATTTTTAACAAAGAAAATACACGACTACCTAAAACGGATATACATCAAACAACAAAGAATTCATGAATTGATCAAAGAGGTATTGTACTTTCCTCGCTAACTTGACATCCAAAGTATGTACTCCAATTCATGCATATATTCTGTTATCGTATCCTAGTGCTCATGCTCGTCTTCGCTCAACACGAAGTCCTCTGGACCTCGAACTGCCTCTTCGTCGTTCTTTATCTTCGCAAATCCTTCGTTGAAACTAGATTCTCTTGATGGGAATGGTTCATCGCATTTGGGTGAGTGTAGTCGAGGGTAGTACCTTCTGTAGGAGAAATATGCGGTGCTCATGCCGAGGATCGAGCCACAGGTTACGTCGTAAACGTCGTGGCTGCGGAAATCATTAGTTGTCCTTTCCTTTGAGAAAGTGGCAAGTGACATACCGATAATCTTCACATCGACTAATCGCAATTAACGCAGCACCGATCAGCGGTGAAATGGTAAGTAAAGCCCTCGTAAGATCCGTCCTTGGGCGGAAAACATGCATCTGCCCCGCAAAGAACAGAGCAAGAAATCCCAGCCCACTAAACGCAAAACTCGAATGCCCCGAAGGAAAACTCCTCCATCCGTCATGCAAAGTATGGTGATCTGTCTCTGTACAAACCGAAATGTCGACTAGTACGTCTTTGGGGGTTGTATTCGCTGGTTTGCACCGAGATATCAAGTCGGGTCGGGGCCGTCCAACTGCGTTCTTGACCACATCGGTGATGAATGTTGTAAGAAAAATGCTACCAATCTTCAGCAAAGAGTATGAGGACATAGAAGGAATGTTGACCTTATAAGCAGTCCTAGTATTGTAACATGGAATTTATGTATGTTTGCCCTTGCAATGGCCAACCAAATTACCAAGCAAATAAACGGCACCACCCCCGCATAGAAGATGTTCCATAACACTGGGACTCTCTCCTGCAGCGCATGCGGATAGAGTATATTGATGTTATTTATGAAGAACATTCGGTGGAAGGGCTCGACGAAGAATTGGATCTATTTCCTGGTTATCAGGGCTATTCCAACTTTTGCTGCCGAAGACGATGTACCGAGAAATATGCAACCATCAAGAGCGTGAAACCCAGGTAATCCGGCGCGTATGTCTTCTACAAACACGAAGTCAGTAAAGAAGCCTATGGAGAGCAAGAGTGAGAAATTACCTGCCAAAATCTAGCAAGAGACCCAATCCACCCTGTTCTCGCAGCGAGACCCCCATCGGGAGACTGCGAACTGCGCGGCATCTTCCTCCTCAAGAAACGGCCAACATGCCTAACAAAGCGGAGAGATATTAGGCAGGGAATTCTGGCGGTGAAGCGTGGTTCGAGAGGATTTGTACAAGTGTGCGGGTAATGATATCGGTGTTGAGATTGGCCACGCGAGCAAGTCCGAGAACAGCCTTGCCAAGCGTTTGGAAATTTGCGCCCTCCGCCCCCTCCCCCGGCACCCGCCCGTCGCCAAAGCTAGGCGAGCGGGGGTGAGCGGCGGTACTCTCGCAGTGGGTAAGGAGGGAGCGGCTGGGCGGGGAACCCGGAAAGTCGCATCAGCACGTGGGGGCCCGACGTAAGGGTTGAATGCCTGAGGCAATAAACTGTACACAGTAAAGAATAATAACTATTTTACGTGCCTCTAGCCAAGGCTTGAGTTAGTTCGGGAATAACGAATAGGCACACGGGCCACCTTTCTGGCTTCTTTGAGTTTGAAACAAAATCCTTATTATCTTGTCCTTATGCGAACCTCAGCAGCGATGCCGGCGGCTGATCCCAGAACATGCCGTCTTCTAGAAAATCCAATTCGTCCGGCTCGTCCGATCCTGCGTTCCTAGAATTTAACGAAGAGGACGTGAGCAGAGACAGGGACTGCGTCACTGCATTTACAGACAGCCCTTCCTTCTCTATTTCTTCACCAAAGGCTGCAAGCTGTTCTTTGAAGGAGGCTGTGCAGGCATGATTCGGCCCATACATCTGCTCGGATAACATGACTGCTTTTTCCAAATAGCGCAGAGCGCTCTTCCATTCCCCGTTGCGTCGATGATGCTGTGCAATCTGAACCGCGAAGAAACATTGGTGGTGTAAGTTGCTGGGGTCTAGTAACCCTTTTGCCTGGTTGAAGAGATATTCTGCTCTTTGAGACTGGTGTGACTTGGAAAGCGTGTCTGCCTCCAAGATGATCGTGATTAGAAGGCGCTGCAAGGTCGCAGGTTGCCTAGATGCAGCATCTGCTAAATGTGCCAGAAAATTGTCGTCGATCTTTAGATCCAGGACATCGATTCTGCGAGGTCTGTCGTAGTAATGGTGCTGTAGGGCTAAAGTGATTGACACAGCAGCAGACGAAACACTCTGTTCGTTTAAATTCTCACATCCTGCAATGACCCGTGAGAAGTAGGACTCAGCTTCAGCGAAGTTACCCTCGTTGTCAAAACTAACTGCCTGATTGAATTGACATTGTACCAAACCAGCTGTCATGTTGAAATCACATTGCGTCAGGTGGAAGAAGAGGAGTGAAGTGACAGGAAGAGATGCGCGGTACTGCAAGATCTCAGTGGCTTGATTCGCATATTTCCTGCAGTTTTGAAAGGAACCTGCAGAGCGGTAGGTGTTCGACAGGCCAATGAGAGAACGAAGGTTTCGATTTTCGAAGTAAGCGTGACCTCTATCGGCTGGATTCTCTTCCGCAAGCAATCTTCTGTAGAGGTCTATGCTTGTCCGATAATCATGGAGCTCATTGCACGCTTCAGCGCAGGAAAATACAATCCGATGCATAAAGCCAGAATGTAGACCATAATACTCTATGCAACGCGTCGATAAACTCCCGTACTCCCTGAGGGCATCCTTTGGACGCTGCTGAAGTGTAAATACCTTAGCAAGTAAGAGACGATTGCAAACCCAGGCAAGATCTTCAGCACCCTCTTTCTCTGCCCCGGTTTGGAGAAGATTCTGCTCTACTTCGTGAAGGAGCCCCTGGTATGCGTAGATGTCGGCAAGTCCGTAGATGCAATTGAACATAATAAAAGTGCAGTCGAAGAGGTTCTCTTCTATGCATGTTTGCAAGACTTTCTCGTGGATAGAGATCGATTCATGGTACCTTTCCTTCGAACGGTAATATAGAGCGGCGAAATACAGCACTGACAGGATGTACTCGTAAGAAATGATGCGACATGAACGACACAAAGGCAATATTATTCGTGATAGCTCTGTGGCGGCCTCCTCGGCTTTCTCGTAGTCGAAGTTTGTGCAGTGGGAGCCGAGCATTTCGAAATGCTCTCTTACAGTGTTTGCGACATGGATCTGACACGATTGACACCCGTGGATTACTCTTATTCTCATGTTTTTAGCTTGGTTTTGTGCGATCGCTGTGTCTTCTCCCCACAGTTTCACCCTGTAAGAAGGAAGTGTGAACGAGAGATCATCCAGATCCGCCAAGGACATAGGGCGACGGTCGGAATGGCAACTGTTACGTTTCTTAAACACAGAATACGTACGGCCAGACAAATTGCTGAGTGACCTTCGTAACGCTAGGCTTCCGTGCTGAAATGCGGAAACAGTAGAAGCGACACTCGCGATTGACCCATTCGTCCTTGCTACTCGACATAATGCGTCAGAGAGGGAGGATCTATTGCTTGGCATGGTGCAGTAGCTGACAAAGGATGGTGTTGCTGATTGCCTTGTCAGTTATATGGGTTTGCAGCTGGGAGTGAGTAACTCACAGGCAGTTGGGGAGACTCTCTTGCCATTTTTAACTTGGCTTCTCTTGGCGTAGTGACTAAATCTTTCTGGCAGAATATCTCGTCCCTTATATCTGAACTTTGTGTGTTTGTCCTCCTCAAGCTTGCGCTTCGTTGACTTTGCCAGCATGAGTTGCATAACGGAAGATTTGATATTCTTGTCGAAACCCCAATCTTTCAGCTGCATTTTGAACTTTCTTTCCCCAGCTACGAAATTCTTCTCATCCTTCAAATACCGCATGGTCTCCTCCACTGTCTTGTCCTCATCTAGATAAAGTCTCTCAATGAGGGCTTTCTGGTGTTCCCACTCTTCTGGAGAATGGCGATTTTTGACGTGCCGTTGCCTTGCAGAGAGCGTGGAACTTTCCCCAACGGGCATAGCAGGGCTCGAGTCCATGGTGTCGATAAAAGAGGTAGTTCGTGGTCGATTAAAAGAACATGGGACAGTTGCTTATCACGAGCGACCGAGATATTGAAAACAAGGGTGTGGTTCACGAGAACGTGGTGCTGGGGACTCCGGGGCGTTTAAATGCTTTAGAGGGATGTCTCCAACAGCGTAGCAAAAGTGCATTAAAGCACGCTCCGGGAGCCTGATCGGAGGAGCGCACGATAGGGCGAAGTGGAAGCCCCATGGACAGTTGCAGGCTTCGAAGATGCCCAACTGAGAGCAAGGCGAACTCGTCCTGCGCCATCGCGTATTCTTGCCCAGCCAGCGGTGCATCGGTTAAAACCTTCCAGAACAAAAGTGCATTCGAAGCTGCTGTCAACCAATATAGGAATGGTCTGGCTGCCACGTGCCTACCCTTCAACATCGCGTCTTTGACAACATTCGGACGCTCAGTCCTTGGATCAAAAGCCCTACAATCGTTGAAGAAGCAAAATGACCAGATAGTGGCCGACCCTAACAGTCTCTCAATACATTCAAAACTTGACGGATTTGATGTGCGAGAACATTGAGTGTATGACCACTGCGATTACATAAGAAACCGTAAGGCAAAATCATATGGCGAGATGAGCTGAGCGGGCAGCAAGCCCACTAACCGAATGCCACCTACAAGAGAAAAGAGAGTTGGTTCATAATACTAATGCAATGGAATCGTCCGTACTGCGTGCATTCCACGTGCATAGTTCCACAATATTTACCCTCTCCTCGGTGACCTTGCCAAATAAATTTCCGAACAGGCTCCACCAAATCCCCCCTCTGACAACGACAATAGGCCACTCATCTGCGAATCCTCGAATATAAAGTTCTCGTTGGTATTTGCATGCTTATTTGCGTTGTCTTTATCTAGAGGTGACTTAAAGCCAAATTTGCACACCGAGTGTAGCACTTTTGCTGCGTATGACTAATATGCCCTCTAATTGCAAGGATCGTTAAACATTGGCTCTGGTAGTCGCCGACAAAAGCATGTGGTTGCTTCCGATAGGTTTTTTGCTAGTGTTCCTCATTCTTCTAGCCCGTTCCAGGAAGCTGATCGTACCAATGGGTGTAAATAATAGAGTTGCTCGTGTGAATCATCGGCTTTGATTTTTCTGCGCGACATCATAGGATACGCTTGAAGATTATCAAGTGCAACCCAGATATCGATCCTATTCGCACCTTTGGTCAATGCTTGAGACGGCAATCTCTTTGGGGTGGCTTGCTCGTCAAGCATAACAGAGATAGAATGAAGTTCTTCTGTAAATGGATAGGCTGTCGCAAGATAGTTGAAGGCAAGCTCCCATGTTTTGATAATTGGTTAGCGGGCTGGCCCTTTCCCTGTTGTCCCGATGGAATGGTTAGCGGATACCGAGTAATTTGGAGTAGTGAACAAACTAGTTCCACAAATTCAGAGCTTAGCAGGTTGGCCTTCGAAGCATCGCTCCCACAATAAATTTGCCATACACGATAACGTTGAATGGTGAGGCAAACGAATTACTGGTCACGTGCGACTGAGATCCAAAATCGCCTCCGGCAGGGAAAGTTTGAGAGTGGATACTATCACGATATTATAATGATTAAAAAGGTGGCTATATTGTAAATCTAATAGGTATTAGCGAGATGTATATTTAGATAACATAGACGAAGGGATAACCGATTCTCTAGGGAGCAGATGAGGATTCCCCTGAGCATAATCCAGCCGACTTATCAGCGTGCTCAGGGCTCAGGGGCCAGGGCTCGGCTCAGGTTAGAGCAGCGAATGCTCGAAAGACAGAAGCGGACTTTGGAAAGGTTTAGATTCGGCGCTAATTATGGTAAAAGTAGCGTGTTCGGGTGAGCGTCGCGAAATGGATTTGCACAAAAATGGTATGCACCAGGTCTACTGAGGCGCCAAGGAATGCCGAATTCGCGAACTTCAACTTTCCACCAAATAGCACAGCAACACACAACTTCATCGCCATCGTGAGGGCTTGCGCGCCTGTAATCCTGGTCGCTAGACCCCACCGTCCCCTCAAGCTTGCGTCAGAAGAAAGCAGAGAACATGGAAGAACAGCAACAGCAAAACGTCCTCGCAGCCGCCTTCCCAACACCCCCTCCCTTCTGGCAATCCTTCACCCCTGAGAACCTCTCCTCCATCTCCTCTCTGCGAGCTGCCGAACCCCAATCATCATCCTCTAAAGTCGAACCAGATCCCGCGACTGAGCTCCCCATCCGACTCCTCGACCTCCCCGCCGAGCTGCGATGCCTACAACCACCCGAGCCGCCTGTCGAGGGTCTTTACAGGTGTTTTGGGGATCTGTATAACGTGCGTACATACTGGAATCACAATTGACGGGAATATGGAGATTAGGGGTCTTGGGAGAATGAAGATTGCAGGCTGATGAATATGTTTGGGCAGATGAACGATCCATTACCAAGTCTCGAAGAACAAGGAATCGAGCAACTCTACACACCACCACTAACACCCACCTCCAACAACGGCGGAAAGCACACCGATCGCGCGCTGATCCTAAAACGAATCGCCAAATCTCTGCTGCTGAACTTTCTGGAATTGGTGGGCATCATGAGTGTCAATCCTGAGCAGGTTTGTTGCTCCTCTTTATTCCACCTCCACTCCCTTCCCCATTGAGCTGGACTGATGAGAGATACAGTACCAAGAAAAGATACAGGACTTAAGGACACTATTCATCAATTTCCACCACCTTTTAAACGAATATCGACCGCATCAAGCGAGAGAAAGTCTTATTCAGATGATGCAGACTCAATTGGAGAGGAGTAGAGCGGAGACACAGGGCATCAGGGAGATGAAGATGAAGGTTGAGGGGATACTCGAGGGACTCAGTCACGCTAAGTTGGCGGAGGAGAAGGAGAATGAGGAGAGTGGGAACGAGGTGGTGGAGGATAGGAGGGATGTTTGGGAGGCGTTGGAGAGAGAGTTTGGTTGAACGCTGTTGCAGATGTTGGATGGATATCTTTGGGCAAGCAGAACTGAGGACATTTCGGCATATGGAAGAGTTGTACGATACCCAGGAGATCGCACAATACCATCAAACCTCGAGAGAGACAAGGAGACACCATCGATTCCCTGAAAGACTATCGCATCAATCACCACGCAAATGCAAACCGGTATCACCCTCCCATTCCCCCACTATATCAGCCCCCCAAACTCCTCCCCCAGCCATAAATCATCTCTCATCATCTCCCCATTCTAATCCCCTACGGCCCCTCTCACAAAATCGTGCAAGGAATCGGAATGCAGCAGCATTCGTACCCATCACACTCAATGCACTTTGTCTTTCCTGCTGCGCCTCCCTCGGGATTCACGATCGAGGAGATGGTAGAGGAGGCTGCGGAGCCGGGACTGTTGCGGTTTACGAGTTGGGAGGTAGAAGAGGTGCACATTTTAACTGACGGGAGCGGGGTTAGCTTGGGCGAGCAGAGGGGAAAGGACAGAAGGGGGCCTACTGGCGGGATTGTTGGTGTATTGATTTGGTAAGTGGATTTTGAGGGTTCTGGGTGGAATTGATTTGATTGCCCTGAGATTGCTTGAATGGAGAAGTTGGGCTGCAAACTTATGATGTCAGTACATCTGCCAACGCTGAAGTTTACCCTGGATTCAGACGGTTGACCGAAGGCGAGGACTTACATTCTTGAGCACGAAACGAGGGTTGTGTAAAAGAAAGAATCAATCGAGAGAAAGGTTGTTGTCTGAACTCAAATACCTAGCCTTGGCTGGCGTGTCAAGTCGCATGAATCTGGATCTTGGAAGCTTGGAGGTGAATGTCGATTGGTCAGTACAATCTGGAGGGCGCTACGTAATCGCTGTGGCGGAAGTTGCAGCCACGATCGATGACCCCACACGTGGAATTCAAGGGGTCAATTTGAACTTCAACTTCACAAGTCAGGTTGCAATATTTTCCTTTGCTCTCATTGCTACTTATATGCATTGTTCAATGGCCTGCTCTTTTCTTCTTGGCAGCAGTGTCTTTTGTTCCATCGCCTCATGCCCGCCAATGATCTCGCCCGATCAATTTTCAACACCACAATTTCACTCCGTTCCGTCTCTTGAGATTAAACACGATTCAGATGCCTCACCATCGAAAGATACAGATAATCGGATATAACCCACGGTTTTAGAACAGCTCCTAACTCCGTCTTCTTTTCGAGTCTTGCAAAACACTTTAGCGTGAACAGCTCGCTGGTTTCTACAAATTGAGACTAGTGTTTCCCACCTCCTTCGGCTTCCTAGGCTCCACCTAAACTAATTGAAGAGGATCCTTAGTCAAGAGTTTGAAGCCATCTTGACTATATATTCCTCGGAACTCTCATTCTTGAAGATGTCGTTCGATGCTTCAATTCAATATCATTCAAAAATTAATCACCTAAGTGAAGGAAAGAAAAGAGGAAACATCGCAGTAAGACATCATCACCATGGCCATAGAAGCAACTCTTCCTCGAGTCCCCAAGGACCACGCCTTGATAGGTGACGCTGCAAACCTACCCTCCAGCACACCCGTTCCAATCATCTCCATCAGTCCTCTGGTATTGCCATATCCAGGACGCATTGTGGACTTCCAGCTCAAAGTCTCAGCGCCAATAACTGGGAGCAACTTACCAATCGTACTGCTCTCCCACGGCCATGGAATGTCGAACAACCTATCTTCACTCAACGGCTACGGTCCACTCGCATCCTTTTGGGCGTCTCACGGTTTCGTTGTCATCCAGCCTACTCACCTCAGCTCCAAATCCCTCTCCCTTCCACCAACAACTCCAGGGGCACCCCTCTTCTGGCGCTCCCGCGTCGAAGACATGTCCTTCATCCTGGATCACCTCGACACGATCGAATCACACGTCCCCACGCTTCAAGGTCGACTCGACAGATCCCGCATAGCGGTAGCAGGGCACTCACTCGGCGGACAAACCGCCACCTTGCTCCTAGGCGCCACACTCAAAGACCCCGACTCCGGAGAAGTGTACTCCCTCCCGGACCCCAGAATCAAAGCCGGCATCGTGATCGCCGCGCCTGGGAACGGCGGGAAAGATCTCAGCACGTTTGCGTACGAGAACTTCACTTGCCTCCGGCACCCATCATTTGCAGAGATGAAGTCTAAAGCTCTCATCGTGGCGGGAGACAAGGATGTCTCCCCGTATCTGTCGACGAGGGGCGCGGACTGGAGGGCCGATCCGTACGAGCATAGTCCCGGCCCGAAGGATTTGTTGACGCTGGCGGGGGGAGAGCATGGATTGGGGGGTATTGCGGGGTATGATGCGCAGGAGACAACGGATGAGAGTCCCTTGATGGTGGCGGTCGTGCAGAGGATGACGGTGGCTTGGTTGAAGAGTGCCTTGGGTGAGAACGGTGAGGCATGGGGGGAGGCGTGTAAGGCTTTGGAGGGGTTGAAGGGATTGGGGAGGGTTGAGTGGAAATGAGCGCCTGAGAAGAGGATGAGAAATAAGAAGAGAAGCAGAAGGGCCGCAAGGTGATTAAAGAGAAAATGGAAGAGAAGTTGAGACAGATGATAGAAAATAAGCAGAGAGAGACTCTTCCCCTGGCACGTGACCACCCATCCACCACTCTAGCGCAAGGTACCCGAGCACTAAAAATAGGATATCCATTCCAACTCTTGAATTCGAATACAACTCAGAAACGAGCCTTTTCTCCTTCCCATTCCCTATCCTCTGCCGGGTCCGCTCGCATGTCGTTACCTCCGCAGGTAACAAGCCACAACTCAATGACCTCATCGCCCAGGTTGAAAGGATTCATGAAGTCTATTTTTAGACCTCCCACAGAGATTTGCTTTTTCAAGATAGGGTAACGTTTTAATTCTCCGCGGTTTCAGACGAATCGGTTTCTTACTGTACACTTCGGCCGATTCTCTCACCATACTTTCCAGACGTTCGTTTCAAGCTCGAACTACTGTCATGGAATCAGCCAAGCGGGTAACTCCACATGTCTCCCTTCATCCCACCTCATGTTTACTGTACCAAGCCCCCCTTCCGTATCCCCCACATGCATGATGTCGTCCAGTTCGCCCGTCAGCCTCGTCTCGTATTCCCAGCCACGAGCCTGCATTGCGTCTGATAGCCCCCAAGCGGGCCAGCTCATCTCGCCTAGCGCACCCGTTCAAGACATCAGCGCCAAATGCGCCACTCACGAGCCGCCCTTCGTCTCTGTTCTCCATGCGCCCCCTTCTGCCCACTGCCCAGCCCTACTATTATCAGTCCGCCGACCATGCTGCTTTCAGCTCTCGGTCGCGGGCGACAATGAATCGGCCCTCGACGCGAACTTGTGAGGGTGAGGAATCGAAGATAACCTTGCTCTGTACTCCCAAGCGACCAGTCTCTCGCCAAGACTGCGTGGGTATCCCCTTCCCCTTCCCCTTCCCCTGCGCCTGCACCCGCACCTGCGCCCGCACCTGCGCCCGCCCCGCTGCTGCACTTGAGTGTCTTGTTGGTTGCGCTTCTCAATCTCCTTTCAACACTCCTTCTGCTCTCCGTCTGTCCTCTCACTGTCGTTCTCGTTCTCGTTTTCGTTTTCAGTTCGATCAATTTGTTGCGCAAGCACTCTCATGGCGAGCACGCTCATCACGACGACCCGAACCCTCACGCCTGTGATCCTTCCCGCGTCACCTATCGCGCAGCCTGCGCAGGCTGACAAGATCAACCTCTTGGCTTCAGGTTCAACAACACGGCACCTCCTCTCCTCCCTCCCTCCCACAGCCATAATGTCTGCTCCGTCGTCGACCTCCCCTCCGCCTCCGCCCCCGATGCCCGGCGGCGGCCTCTCGATCGGCGCGAAAGCAGGCATCGCGGTCGCGATCGCCGTGTTGGTCGTCCTGGTCGTGTCCCTCTGTATCTGTCTGCACATCTCCTACCGCAACAAACGCCTAAAACCCTACCGACAAGACAAGACATTTCAAACTACATATCCGGGGCAAATACCCTACGCATTCCAGAATAACAATATAGGACAAGGAGAAGGAAGGGCGCCGCTGCTGAGAGATGGGAGTTACATGGACGTATCAACGCGAAACGGGTCCTCGGTGTCGGCGCAATCGAGTCCGTATCTGGGGAGTCCGGATATGGGAGGCTACTCGCCAGGCGGGATGGAAAGACTACAATACTCACCGGGCGGAATGGAGACCCTTCCTCCGCCGGGACGAGATGATTTAAAACAGACGCGCTCGGGGGGCTCGAATAACGGTTATCTAAGTCCTAATTTCCTCAGCCCCGCAAGTCCGAACCTAGAGTCGAAGCTCGAAAATGAGCGCTGGCGAGAATCGCACTCCATGGCGGGGTACTTTGAGAATCAGCAGGTGGCAGCGGAGCCGAGACTCAGTCCGGGCGACAAGATGATTGCGGAGTGGCGGAAGGCCGAGATTGAGAACGCGAGGGAGAGGAGTCGGAGCACGAGTCGAGAACCGCATCCCATGGCCGATTATCAGATGGCGTTGCCGCCGTTCTACCCAAAGGGGTTTAAGGATATCAATGGGGAGGAGGAGGACGGGGGGAAGAGGAGGAGTCTGAAGGCGGAGGCCGAGAGGCTGTTGAGGCCGGAGATACATGAGATGGATGTTGGGGATGCGGAGCGGGGGCGGGGACATGATAGATGATAATGATATGATCATGGCTATTTTTGTTACGATGTTGCATTTCTGCGGAGATATCCATTGGTGGTGCAGGAGAGCGAAGAGGTGGGTGGGTTTATGGCGTTTTGATGAGCGAGGCGTTCTGGTCATCTGGGTTCTAGAGGCGGCATTCTCAATACAAGTTAACTGAACTTTCAAGTTGTTCTTCCCAGACAACCCGCACACGACTTCAGGGTAGCTGCGCCATGGAGCATAGATACCACCACAATGCTCACTTGGCTCTCCCACTTTCCCCTTTAAGCGAAGCAAAGCAAAGCACCCCATCCCATCCCATCAGAAACGAGTATTTGCACCGTTCTCTCTCTCCCTGAGTTAAGCCACTAAGCTTGTGATGTAAAGGTTGGAGCCGAAAATGGCGGGGGCGAATAAGAATACCTGAGGGAGTGATGACGTGGGGTAAACTAACGTCCCTTCTTGGCTTACAAACAGGAAGCGAATGTTGGCGGAGTATTTTGTTACTCAAACCCCGAAAAGAAGTCAACTCACTTTCTATCGGTCAATAGCATGTTCGGCATAGATCGCAAGAGACGAGTTAAGCCCGGCGGTGATGAGTGGTGGTAACACGGGTTGCCTGAGGAAGGGAGGGCCCACCAGAAGGAGTATCACGAAATGGGAGGACGCTGCAACCTCAGTGCAAGCGCTTTTGCATATATTTATGAGCAAGGAAATGGCTATTTGTGGCTTTTTCAGGGCGCATACGGGTTAGGTTCTCGTCCCCGGATAACTGACGTTTGGGGTCTTTTCTCGCGGCCATTACAAACTCTCTCTGATGTCGAAAAGCCCCATCTGGAGAAGCTCGAGACTCGGAAATATACGCTGATAGATGATTCTATTCCCGATTTCGCGGCTCCGTTTGCGGAAAAGGTCGATCGCCTGGGCCTAATGCCGTAGAGGCCGACGACATTAAGATTATGCCATTGCTGCGAGAACGTCTCTTTTTATCAAACGGGTGGAGGATGCCAAGTATGAAGTATTGGGCAACTTCTCACAGCTTGGTCCTGTAGTGCCTCACGACTCACGAGCTCTATCAGCTCGCTCGCCGGCTTTCCGAGCCGCTTGATCGCCAAAGGCTCAGCAAAATAAAGTTTACTGTCCAAGAAGGTTTTTTGAAATCGAAGGTGGATTCCGGCCAGAAGATTTGGGAGCGATCCCGACTCGAAAGCAGCAACAGAAGGCTTTGTGGCAGCATTTTCCGTCCTCCTCGATGACCGGAGTGGGGCATTCTTCCTCCTGCTACGGGAATGGCTGTACCAAGAATCACTGCGAATATGCGGATCTCTCTGCAGAGGATCCTCAACTTCCGACAAGATTGCTTGATGTTAGAAGCCCAGCAAAGTTATTGCCTTGCCACACAGAAGAGCGTGAACGAGGCAAATATATTGCGCTATCTTATAAGTGGGGCACAGTTCAGACATTTTCCAACAACGCGGGAGAACGTGAACAAATTATGCAGTGGGTTGCAGCTTCTGAATTACCGAAAGCGTTTCGTGATGCGATTGAAGTCACGCAGAAGCTTGGAGTCTCTTTCCTCTGGATTGACTCGTTTTGCACCTAATCTTAAAACATACCAACATCCATTTCCGTGTTTGGACACGAGGTACTGCTGCTTTAACCTCAGCCGAAACCCTGAGTCCTCGGCACGCTAATAAGTCAGCTAGAGAAGGGGCATCGTCTTCTGCCCCCCCCCGGGAATCGGTTATAGTTTCCTTGTTGACTATATATTAATATTGCTAACGCCTGCTACCTTAAACACAACCATCCCTTTCAGCATATCAAGATGTCGTGATAACTTCCGTTCTCGTTCCCTTGTTAAAAGTACTGCGGTCCCAGCTGGAGTCTATTTGTAGCACCGGGCCTTATACCCATCTCGCTTGGATAAAGGGCATAGTAACTATTTTAGACCTACCCATCGAAAACACTGATCTTATGTTGTTCCCACAGCCATAGAGCTCCGTTAACAATTTGAATCTTCCTCCTTCGCAGTCACGCTAACACAATGTCTACCACACATTCAGTACATTGCATTGAAGACAATGGTAGAAGGTACGTGCGGTTGCATGTCTGGTGAGTAGTTAGCCTATGTGGGCACCGAGTATGATACAAGAATCTTGCTAAAACAATTAACTCCTCTATACTATATTACTATTGACATTCAGCCCTTGAAAAATCCGAGGCGGGCGAAATTGTATAAGTTACGATTCAAGATCACGAGAAGGAATTCGTAAAAAAACGAGTTTCACTTCGAAAGTTGATGCAACTTTATGGAGATGGGATAGTCTTCCAACGCTATTCAGGCCACCAGGGCCAGAAATTAGTTGACTTGATATAACCCCAACTTGAAAAGCACATGAAGAAATCCTGGCACTAAGGAATCCTTTAATGCATCAACATCAACGGATCTTCAAAACTTTCATTTCCAAATCTTTCTTCTCTGCATGCATTAATCCATGAACATACGCGAAACCCCTAATATGAAACTCCTCGCCATCTGGACGCAAGACTAAAGGATACGTGCTTCCACGTGCGACATAAATCACATCTCCCGGTCTAGTTGGAGATATCGAACATCCTATAAATTTGTCTTCAGTAATGAAAAAGCTCGATTCTGGGTATTTGAAGTCCCAGACTGGTTTGCCGAATAATCGTCCGTCTGCATTTTTGGAATCCTCGGACATGTCGGCTGGTATATACGTGTTGTATATTTCTTCATCGAGCGCTATCTTCAAGTAGGCGACAAATCGCTGGACTAGAAGTTGCTCGTTTGCAGGGTCGCTCTTCTCATTTAGACCAAAGGAGAACGATGTAGCAGCGGCGGTGAGTTCGTCGGCACTGAAGGGAACGTGTAACTGGCCATTTCGCATAGTCTTCAGTATCCTTTGCCAAATTTCCTTCAGCGTCTTTCGCCCCGAATCTGACTCCACCATTGAATTGCAAAAGATATTCTCGTTATAAGGTTCGACGAATTTGATAGGACCAATAATAAATCCAGAGAGAGATAATATGTTTGATTCCTTGTCAATGGACCAAATTGGACTTGTCTCTCCGGCGGGTCTCCATGGCAATGGCTTGCCAAATCGAAAAGGGTTTCGAAACAGCATAGGTATATCCCATCGCGGAACCCATGAAGGATCTTCGACGCCTTGAACGTAGAGCAAAATGTCGGTTGTATCGAAATTTACGAATGCTGCTTCGACAGAATCCCGGTAAACTTCGGCGGCTGACTTTGAGTAATCAGGCTCCAGCAGCTCTGCTCCCTTTCCAAGTTCCATCATGCCCCGGAGACCATATATTACATCTCTAGGATCCAAGCTGGAGAAGTTGGATGCAAGGTATAGCATTGAAAGCCAATTCTTTGGCAGCACTAGATCTGTCGTCACAGTTGCTGCCCACCAGCAATACGCATTCGTGAAGCCAAATGCTTTCGAGAACGCAGTTTCCATTGTGATATAGCACGCAACCAGACTAACTCGATCCCACAAGACCTCCTCACGGCCACAGTGAAGCAAACGCTCTTTATTAGCGTTCACTTCTTGGATAGCCCATACCCGAGTAAAGTAAGGATGCTTGTAGAACCAAAGTAGGGACTTCCACATGGCTTCAGTGCTAAATTCGCATTCATTTGGCACGGGAATAACCTCGCCAGCTGTAGCCATGATTTTTTGGTAAAGATTTTCCTCTGAATAGAGATCCGAGACTTGAATTCCAAGCTTTTGACACAAGAAGTCCGATATTGTGATGATAGAGTCTACTGCGACTCTTGCCTGGTGGTCCTCCGAATCTGGCCCGACCCAGATGAGGACGGTCTTCGCCTTCTGATAGATCTTCCGCATTTGGGTGACTTGGTAGCCACGTTCAGGGGTATCTGTTTGATTGATACTATTTCGGAACAAATCGTCAGACTCAAGAAAGCAGATGTGGGATTTGTAGACGTGAAAGAACCGTTCAACATCAAACCGACTGCTTTTGAGAGTCTGGCCTTAATTTAATAGATACCGCAAAGAAAGTAGCCAGAAGGAAATAGTTGGTCTACTTACCAGATAGCATCGGCCCACAATACTCGAGAGCGATCTTGGTATCGAAAGTGCTTCAATCCCCTCCAAAGATTCACGGTTACGTCTAAGCTTTTCCCATCGACGATGACTGGAGCTCTGGCCATTGGATCGCCCCAAGCATAGGATATTGCTTCGTATACCGGTAAGTCGGCCCAATGTACACTGCGTAACAGACAAGATATTGGATCGCCTTCCACGCCAGACAGAAGCTCAAGTACTCTGAACGACGTCTTTGTAGGCAAAGCCTCATACTGATATCGCTCCTCGGGATATTCGGCCATTTGCATGAGGACGAAATTTCTGTACTAGTATTAGCGTCGGTGATGCCAAGGACCAAAGGTTTTGGCGGAGAAGTGAGGTTGGATTAATGAACTTAATATGAAACCCGGATGGTGAGGTGGGCATGCGGGGTATGCGGAAAGCCGTGAGAACGTGTACGGAAAGCCGAAAGGATCACTCGTCCAAGCGAGAAACGTGATTTAGCGTTTACTGTTCACCCGACCAAAATTCGCCCGCACCTACACTCCGTACCTTCCCTATACATACCATCTCTCTTTCTCACTCTTATACTTATATATAGAAATAAGAATTAAAGAGAGAGAATAAATATTTTAAGTAATAATAAAGGCTTAGAAAAGGGTAAGGGAAAAGCAGCAAAGTATAAATATAAGCAAATTTTAATAAAATAAATAATTTATATAGATTTTTATAAAATGTAATATATTAATATAAAAAGCAAAACGCAAAATACTAAATTTAATTTTTATAATTTATTTTATTAAAAATTATTTATATTTATATATTAATATCTTTATTTTAAACTTTTATAATTATTTAAAAAAAATTACATTTTTTCTCTCTTTTTATATATATAAATATAAGAAAAGTAAAAAGAAACTATATTAAATATTTATATTATATTTTATAAAAAAGTTAAGTATTAAACTTTTAATATTTATTATTATAAATAAAAGCTTGATTTATATATTTAGCTAAAAGCCTATATTAGATTATATAATAGAAATTAGAGCCTTTATTATATAATATACTTCTTTAGATTAATAAAGTAATTATATATTATTTAGGAATTTTAAATATTTTAAAAAATATAATTTTATTTTTCTTATTTTTTTTTCTTTTAAAGAATTCTATTTAATTAATTAAATTACTAGTTTTCTTTATATAAAGGCCTAGCTTATAATATTAGAATTCTTTTTCTTTTATTTTTATGAATTAGAAATTATTTATATATAAAGCTAGAAATAAGAAATATTTAAACTTATATATAAAAAATAAAACTTAAAATAAATAATACTAAAAACAAACTTTATTTAAAACTATTTATAAAACTATTACCTTAATAAGACTTTAGAATATATAAAGCTAATAATAGGAAATATTCGAAATTATATATAAAAGCTAAAATATTAGCTTAACTAATTAATATTAAGAATTATTTGAATTTTTTTAGATTTAATTTAAAAAAAACCATTAAATTCTTTTATTATATAAAAATTTAGAAATAAGATTTCTAGTAATGAATTAATTAAATAAATAGCTATATAAAGCCAAAAAGTAAATAAAGCCTTTTTATAATATAATTCTAATAGCTATTAAAGCTAGCTATATAATAAGTAAATTTAATAATAAATCTAATTATATAAATTAACTAAATTAATAAATATATAATAATTTTAAATCTTTTATAAATATAAATATCGTTTTTATTTTATATATTTCTTTAATTTTCTTTTATAAAATAATTAAAAGCTTACTTTTGAATTTAATAAGTTTAATAAGAAAAACTTAATTTTATATTTCTAATTTAAAAAACCTCTATAAATAAATCTAGAAATTAATAAAAAAAAGAAAAGAATTTCGTATAAATTTAAATATTTATCTAAAAAAAGTAATAAGCTAAATATAAAATTAGAATATATCTAGAAAGAAAAGAATTTATAATTAAAGAATTTTTAAATAAATAGACCTGACTTTTTATAATTTATAAAAGTAATAAAAGGCTTTAAAGAAATTAAACTAAATTTAGTAGAAATTAATTTCTTTAAATAAATTCTTAAATAATTTTAATTATTTAATTCTAAAAATAAAAAAATAGAATTAATAAAATAAAATTTAAAAAGAATATTTTAAAGCTATTATTAAAACTAAATATATAAAAGAATAAAAAAAAGAATTATATAAGAAATATTATTTCTAGCTATAAATAATTAATAATTAATTAATTAAAATCCAGAATATAAGAGTTTATTATTTGAACTAATTAAATAAAAGTCTAAAAGTTCTTTTTTATCTAAAGCTACTTTATTTATTTAGCTAATAAAATAAGAGCTTATTATAAATTATATAAAATAATAATTAAAAAATATTTCTAATTAGATTTTTTAAAATAAAATAAATTAATAAAAAGAAGACTTTATATTTAATATAACTAAAATAATTACTTTATATATAATTATTAAATAAAGCTATATTTGAGTCTTTTTTAAGCTAATAAATTAAAAGAAAAAAATAGCTAAAAATAAAGATATTAAAAATAACTTTAAAAAAATAAAGGCATTTCGGGAAAAGAATAATAATAGTTTAAATAAGAATAGAAATAAGAATAAAAATAAGAATAGAAATAAGAATAGAAATGAGAATAGAAATGAGAATAGAAATAAGAATAGAAATAAGAGTAGAAATAAGAATAAAGAAAACTCGAATTTATATAATTTAAAAAAAGACTAGTTTTTAATAAAAGTTATATTAATTAAAAAAAAAATATATAATTAGATTTTATTTTCTTATATTAGTAATAATTAATAGAAAATGCTTTATATAAATTTTTATTAATATTAAATATATATTATATAAAATAATTAGTTCTTTTTTCATTAATTAATATAACTTTTATTATATACTAATTACTTTTAAGAAAATAATACTAGATATAATTAAAGAAATAATAGTATTTAATATGAAGATTAATAATTATTATAAATTTTATATTTTTCTTTATATAATTCTTAAAATTTTTAACTCAAATATAAATTTAAATATATAATAGCTTTATTTATAAAACATGCGAATTTATAATTCGAGATTAGAATTATTTATTTTATTATTAAAAACCGTAATATAAGATAAAATAAATAAATTATTAGTTTTTAGTTTATGAATAATAAATTATATATAAGTTTTAATAACTTAATTTTTTATTTAATAAAAAGAAATAAAAAGAAATATATAAAAGGCTTTAATTTAAAAAAAGAAAAGTAATTTTTATATAAAGCTTTAAAAATAATATAAAGGATTTTGAAAGATATTTTATTTATTTAAAGCTAATAAATTTATTATATTATAAGACTTATTATAAAATATATTTTAAAATAAACTTTTAGTATTATAAAAAATACTTATAGAATTATTAAATAAAGAATTTATTTAAATAAACTATTTTTTTAAATTTTTAAATTTTTTTTTTATATAAGAATTTAGTAAAGAATTACGATTTTATATAAATTATTAGAGCCTAAATAAATTATTAGAGCCTAAATAAATTTATAAAAGAGAATTTATATTTATTTTTATTAATTTATGAAATTCTTTAAAATTTTAAAAAAATAAAATAATTTATAAAACTTAATATTATAGCGAATTTTTATAAAATATATATTATTAAAAAAAATTAAAAAAATAGCTTTTTATATAAAATATAAATTTTATAAATAATTAATAATCTTTTTTAATTTAATAAATATCTTAATTAAATTCTTAGAAATTTTCTAAATAAGTTTTATTTTATTTATATAAATAATATTTGAATTTATTTATTAGAATTAAAAAAAAGCATTATAAATATATATAAAAAGTTTTTTAATAACTTTAAAAAATAAGTTTATAACTAAATATTAATAAATACGAATTTAAGATTAAATTAATAAAATATTTGAAATTTATTATAAAAGCCAAAAGAAGTGTTTATATAAATCTAATAAAAGTTAAAGCTATTCTGAATTAAAAGGCTTCGAAATTAATAAAAGATATATAGAATTTATTAATTTTATTAATATTTTATTCGAGAATTCTTAGAAATTATTTAATTTTATATATTAAAATAAAATATTTTTATAAATAAAACAAAAGCTATTTTTTAAAAACTTAAAAGAATATTTATTTTAGCTTTAATATTTATATAATTTAATTATAATCAGAAAATAACTTTTTTAAATAAATTCTTTTAAATAAAATATAAATAATATTATTATATAAATTAATAAAAAAAATAGTTTATAATTTTATATTTTTTTCAAGAAAAATAATTCTATAATATATAATTATAAAATTTATAATAAAGAAATAAAATATAAAATAAAAAAAAATATTTATTAATTTGAGATTTAAATAAATTATAAAGATTTATTAAATAATAAATAAAATAGTTTCTAAAATTATAATTTTAGAAAATAATAATAATAAATAAATATAATTTTTATAATAAAGAAAGAAATAATTATTAATAATTTCTCGAAAAACTTAATTCTTATAATATTAATAGAAATAAAAAAATAAATTAAAAAGAAGTTTATTAAATTTTCTAAATCCGGCTTAAAAAATCGAAATTAAAAAAAAAATTTAATTAAGAAATTAGTAAAATATAAAAGCCTAACTTATAAATATAAATTAATAAAAAAATATAAAAGATAAAATAGAATTTCTTTTAGAATAAAAAGAATTTCCTAAATTAAAATTAAAAAGCCGAGAATAAAACAAGAATTATATTAATAATAAATAAAAAAGTAAATAAAAAATAATATTTAAGATATATTAAAGAAATATTAGTATAATATTTTTCAAAAAAACAAGCTATATTAGATTATAATTAAAGTAATATAAAAAAAGAAATATTTATTATTTTAATTAAAATAATTTCTTTTTTTAAAATAATAATAATTTCCTAAATTAAAAAAGCTTTATATAAAACTAATTTAATTTAGTATAATTATTTAAAATAAAATATTATAAATACTTTTTTTATATAATAATTCTTTTAGCTAAATATATTAGTTTATATATTATTATAATATTTATAAGAAAAATAAATTTTAAAGAAATTATTATTAGAGATTTCTAAAGCTTTTTTTTATTTTAAATTAAATTTAATAAAAGATTTTAATTAATTTTATAATAAAATTTTTACTAAATAAAAAATATATTAAAATAATTATTATTATAAATTATTTAAAAAAAGATATAATATTTAAATCTATAATAAATATAATAATAATAATAATTTCTAATTAAAAAAAGTAATTTATAAAAATATTATAAGCTAAAATATATAAATTATTAGATATTATTTATTAATTATTTATAAT